TTACACAGCTGAGCAGGTGGAAGTGCTTTTGCTGGTAATAACATTTTATTAGACTCTGAATGAGAGTTGTGGGCATTAACAGTGAGTAGACACCAGACACCAGACACACACACACACACACACACGCACACATTCTAATATAGTATAATTCTTACTATGTACTATGCGTTTGCTCATCAGTTACATGCCATTGTGTATGCATGTGCATGTGTGTATTTGTCTGTGTGCGTGTGTGTGACTGTTCTTTTGAAGCCAGGCGTTTGATTTGTCTAAAGTGATGTCTGAGCTTAATGTGGTGCTGTGGGATTTGTTTGTGTGCTTTGATATCTCCTTGGCTTTCTGCTTGGCTTTAAAGGTCCTTCAGTAGATTTTCTTTGAACTGACAAACACAAGGCAACATGCAGATTAGACTGTTGTTTCTCAGTAGGAAGGGTCGATTGTGGGACACATACAGAAGACATTCAATTAGGATTTCCCCAAAAGTGGTTAGTGGTGATGACACATGCATTAACCAGCGATTACATTTAATGCACCAAACAAAGTAGAATGAGGCATAAAATATACTGGTAGTGTAGGTGGTTAAGATGAAGCTGCTCAGCTACCATGCCTCCACAAATGCTTAAGTTGCATATTGTATTGCAAGCAGCTTAATGTGAGTTAATAATGAGACCAAAAGGAAAACATTGTATACTAACGATCTATTAGAGAGTTCTCATCTTGCTTACATATACACAGCTTTTAGGATTAGCTAGGGATGGGCATCACAAATTTAACACCAAAGAGCAAAGTGTAGTACAATTTTTTTTTATTGTGTTACAAGCATAGACCGATAAATTGTTCAGTTCCAGTTGCTTCATTTTATTTTTGTTGTTCATGCCAGCCCACAGGACAGTCCCTCTGTAAGTCATCAAAATTGCTTCACTGCTACTGAACTGGTATTGATATGGTCAGGATGACAAAATCAGGTGTAGCATTAGGCTAAAAGGAGTGTGGTAACACTCCACCGTTGGAATAGTGTAGTCCTAGATCACAGTTTTCATTATGACAGGGCTGTAACAAGCACCTACATGCAGTGCCTGAGTAAAGGTCTCATTAACTTTATATGTTCCAGGTCACAAAAAAATCACATAATATATGACTATTGCTAAAGGAAATGTGTTAATTGTGCTAAAGAAACAGGCTGGCACATGCTGTACACTTTTTCCATTTATTTTAACTCTAAATAAATAAGTAAATAAGGTAACTTCTCAACCGAATGCTTCACTGCAAAGCACAAAAGGAGGACAAATAATACAACTGTCTTAGTAGTCTAATTCAACTTTTCTAGTTCAATTCTGGCTCACGCTTTCATTCCCTTCTCCTCTCCTTCCTGTATTTAGTTATCATTAAAACATTCTCCTGTATCTTTAGCTAATTAATGTCCCGGGACACAATTTCAGCATCATACTGTGGTAACAAGCCTCTGATCTTGAGTTTACTTCATCCACTCCTCTTCATTGCACGGTAGTCTCCTCTGCTATTCTAATATGTTGCACATTTCTCCCGCTTTCTGTATTACTTAGCCTGCAGTCCTAATCTGCCACCAACATATCATATTTGATCTCTGTCTGGGGTTGTTTTATAGACGCCTCTGTCTCCCCGTCTAAGCCCATTAAAACTTGCCAGATGTTTGTTCCTAACTGTGGTCCACCACTGACTTTGAAGCAGTTTTAAAGCACATCTCTGAAAGCGACATAAGTCATGGCACATAGCATATATTAGCAAGTTTCAATCTTTATATCCAGTAACCCATGTTTTAAAAAGAAAATTATTGATTGATAATTGATTTTTATTTGTTTTTAACACAGTGTACGGTGACCTATTTACTCTTTTCAGTCCCCCTACTGAGTCTCTGGACATATTAACATGCCACACTGTAGATGAAATTTAAATAAGTATTCTTGTTGTATTTTTTTGTATTCTTGGGTGATCCTATATTTAGACTTGGTGTTCGTTCTTTTGGCTTTAAACTCTTTACTTGACTCCAGGAGAGCCCTGCAGAAGAATTCCTATATGCCTAGACTGTGTGTTTATGCATAAATGATGAATAAAAATCTTGAATCTTGAAAGTGTTCATATCAAGCAAGCTTTTATAACTTATATAAAGTGACTTATATTGTGAAAGACCCACAATATTTGTATATTTCTCCTTCAAATTGCCAAGACAATCACATGACAAAATACTACTAACAGAATTCTTATTCCTTTGATGCTAAAATGACAGATGAGTTAAATTTTAAATCAAGTGGTATCCTGTAAATCAAAAGAACTGTTAGAAGTCTCACTATTGGTTAACAGGTTGGTAGCTTACAAGTCAGAGCAGATAAACAAACTTGAATTAATTCCCTATGCTATTACTTTTGTTAGTGTTTAGAATTTACACATAGCACTGGCACATTTGAACTATACCATCCTCCAAACACCTTGAATTCAGTTTCACTGGTCCAAAGCTTGACAGGCCTGCTATGATTAGGGTTTAACCAAGTCATGCTGTACTACCGGAAAGCAATGGTTTTGTGGGCCTCATGGTTTTTGTAATATGTGATACACACATTAAAAAAAGAAGTTTGAGACATGCTATTATTATTTATTATCTTCCAGTTAATTTGGCTTTTTATTTTCCCAATTTTGCAACAATACAACTGTGATTAGAAATAGTAGTTTTTAGCTGCTTTTGTGTTGTACTACCCTAAACCTGTTGTGAATATACCATCAAATAGTAGCAATGTGGATGCAATTATGACTCTTGGGCAGTTTGTGTCTTCAAGGTTTAAGTGGGCTGGAGCATTTCATGATTACAGGCTTTGCTGTGTGTTTAAGGCCAGCAGGTTTGTGATTCTGGGGTTGCCTCTGCCCCTTTGTAAAAACTGAACCAAACACTACAGTCTGAACTCAGTGCAAGTGCTGTTCGAGCTATTACGGTGTTGTTTATTCTGAAGTCTTACAGCCTCTAGTGAGCTGTCTCCTCACCGCTGATCACTGTTTTTATTTAATTTTTCTTTTCAGCACTCTCAATTACAGTAGAGGCATGTTTACCTAAAATACATACTCTTTGGTCACTTTCTGTTACACATTATGAGCAAAACATACAATGATGCAAAGACTGAAGCAATTTAGCATTCTTTTGGATAATTGTTATATAATAATACAAATCATCTGAAGCTGCAGCATCAACATCTAATTTTCTCTTAAAAGCAGGTTCGATGAGTGAAAGTAACATAAACATATGTCCAAACATACAGTAAATATATATTTGCAAAAACAAATTGCATTTTGCTAAATAAGGAAGAAACCAATATTTACATGAGTACATTTGAACAGAGTTTCAGTCTGAGCAAAATTGTATTTTTTTTTAAACTATTTGTTGCAGCTTTATGCATCATAACCTCCCTGGCTCTATTTTGCAGGTATCCTGAATTTATAATTTTATTGCTTTGTTATTTTTATATGACTGATCGCTGTTAACTTTGGCTCTGTGGTAAACAGGAGTATTTTCTTTTCCTCTGCTTTTCATTAGTTCATTCCAAATTGATGAGTCAAGGAGCTCCATTTATCACTCTTTCATTTTGTTATCCATTTGGTCTAACTTGAAGTTGACTTGTATTTATGTCTTGTAAATTGGTCCGACCTGTATGTCTGCCAGATCTGCCTCGATCTATGAGGATCACATTGTGTGTGTGGGTGACAGCCTTGTGTGTGTGTGTGTGTGTGTGTGTGTGTGTGGAGACTAACAATATTGTTAGTACATGAATGTCCAGCATATGCATGTGTGTGTGTTTGTGTAAATGTCTTTATTGCATTGTGAGGACCTTTCTTTTTACACCATCATTGTGAAGACATTTTGGTTGGTCCTTACAACTCCTAAATGCTTTTTGAAGGTTAATACATGATTTTAGGATTCTGGTTAGACTTGGGTTTAATTTAGGATAAGGGTTGGGGTTAGGCATTTAGTTTTCATTATGTCAATAAGTGTCCTCACAACTAAGACATACTGCGTGTGTGTTTGTATGACTGCGTGTGTACTGACAGGGAAGGCAGCAGCATCTGTCAGTACTCTGGGTGGCCTGGTGTTCCTCTTGGTAATTGGATCTTAAAGTTTAGAATGGGTGATGACTGATAAACACACATACCAACACACACATATGGACACCCATGCATGCACATTTCCTTGAAGAACAGGGTTTATGCAATGTGGGATGCACCTGTGGGTGTATGCACGCACTCGGGACTCAGGCAAGCAGTGTTGCTCTAATGGGACATTTTGTGTTTGTGCTTGTTTATGCATGCAGATGTATTATAAACAGCAAAAACATTTTTTTAGACCTCAAAGTTCATATAAGACTGACATTGTGCATTGTGTTGTATTTTCATGTCAGGGCTTAGAGTGAGCCTTGAGATGAAAAAGGCTTTTTATTCACTCATTCATGCTGTATAATAAAACCAAAGCCACATAGTTTCACTAGCTAGCATTAAACCATTCATGTGGAAATATGAATATGTATCATAATGCTCTGAAGCCTATATGCTGCTACATGTGGGTCATGCTTGAAGTTATTGCCTGATGCCAGAAGATGAATAATGGCACTGCTGTCTGTTTGGGTTATACCTGCATCCATCTGTGTTATTCGATATCAGCATGTTTGACTACTGGCTTAGAGTCAGACCACCTGGCTTTTAAAACATGGGACCAGTTTCCTTAGGGCATTATGTGTCATTGAGTATATGGTGGAACATTAGCTTGCTTAGTAGAACAAGCAAATGAAAAACATTGAAGTGAGCATAGAATGAACAATGACATACAGCCTACAGCATGCTGTGTGTTCAAATGCAACCAGTAATCAAAAATGTCGCCTTAATCCTTGTCATTTTCTTTCTTCCCTCACCTCCTGTCACTCCCTTGCCTCTGCTCATTTCCTCATTCCATCCCACTCTTCTTTTTCCTCTGTCTGCATTTTATGCAGGTGGTTCTTGACCACATGAGAAGGAAATGCAAGTGCCACGGGACATCGGGGAGCTGCCAGCTGAAGACCTGCTGGCAAGTCACCCCGGAATTCCGGGTAGTGGGCTCAATCCTCAAAGAGCGCTTCCACATCGCCACGCTTATCAGGGCTCACAACCGGAACACCGGACAGCTCGATCACTCCCACCACAACAACCATCACCATCATCACCATCATCAAAACAGCCACCATCACCACCATCATACTCATCGGCGGCGGCCAAGCATCAATGAACTGGTCTACTTTGAAAAGTCACCAGATTTCTGTGAGCGGGACCTGGGGTCGGACGCAGCTGGCACGCAGGGTCGAATCTGCAATAAGACCAGCCCCGATATGGACAACTGTGAGAGTCTGTGCTGCGGTAGAGGCCACAACATTCTGCAGCAGACGCGGATTGAGCGCTGCAACTGCAAGTTCCACTGGTGTTGCTATGTGGTCTGCGAAGAGTGTAGGATAACAGAGTGGGTCAGTGTCTGCAAATGAAGAAACACACATCAGAGGACTAAATAAAGAAAACAAATAAAAAGAGATGTTAAAATCAAGGCTATTAAGATGAAAGGGCAATGTGACTAATATATGTGCCCCATACCATTTCGCTGTGGATTGCTCTTCCTTCAGGGCAAAGACAAAGTGGGAAGCAGCTGAGTCTGCAGAAAGATAGATGTGCGTGTTGGTGAAGAGTGTGCACATGCAGCCTGTGTCTAAAGCTACCACAGATTGGAGAGCTTGGATGTTAACTGCCTTTCTCTTCAGGCTAAGGAGAATAGTTACATCCAATAAATAGCTGAAAAATCCAAATATGAAATCAGATCTCTGAAAGCAACAAATGATTGTTGTTTCATCAGCATATTTTGACTGACATCGAGCTGCTGGAGGCTCAGGTGAACAAAGAGGATGTTGAGAATAAGCAGACATTTGCATGCAGAAAGAAAATAATATTAATTTAAAACACCGGAGATATATATGTGTATAAGTTGGCGAGCATGATGTCTGCGTCTCATGAAACTTAAAAAAAGTGGGGAAAGATATCGGAAATGTTTTCCAAACACATCGTACACCATACGGTAGCCCCTCCATCATCTGTATGATGACTTAACAGCCATGTTACATATCTTGGCATGTTTCCTATCTACTACAATATAAACAGACACAAATATACACCTTTTCACATGCACATGCAGTTTATAGCCGTTATCATGTTATACCTAGAATACATCAGAGGTTGTCTGGCTCGGCTGACACTCTGTAGATGTACGAATCAGTATTTTGATGCTGTATGCATAATGTGCAACCCTGATAACAGTGGTGGTGTGTTAATATATTTATTGTGGAACGGGGGATGTTGCAGCAATGAGGAATCAAAGTAGTTGAAACTAAATCCAATTAAAAAACTGATCTGACTGTTGAGGCCACTTCCTGGCATTCCTCATATCAGACCCTCACAACTGAAAGCATTTCCTCTTGTTCAACAGAGGATGTCAAGATAAAATGCACAAGAACAAGCACTACTTCAATACACTATAAGATTCATTTTGTGGATTCATTTGGAAATTGCTGGTTACAAATCACTGTGACACAGCTGTTTGCAGACATTTCTAAAACAGAGAACATTGTCCTAAATTAACATTACTAAAACTGTACCAGGTGTGGCCTGTGATGTGTGTGTGGTATGCAATGTAAGAGTGCTGTGAGAGTGCACAGAGTTCACAGAAAACCTGCAGTTTTCATCTTTGGCATGAGCTGAATGGGCTTATGTTCCTCACACTAGTCCGTCAAAGTGTTTTCTGTTTTGTGGTATAATGTACTTATGTGCGACACTGCGAGCTTCTTGAAATATATGCACGCTTATCTTCTTCACACTTCTTTGATGTGTATTTTGAGAATATTCTGGTGTCAACTTCAAAGTTTATAAATAACAAAGCTGATACTGTATGAATTTCTGACTATGGACATTTTGAAGATGATATTTGGTCTCAAGAAATTTCTATGAGTGAGGCAGTCAGAGTCAGACAGTTTAATTTATTTCAAACAAATATATTTTTTTCTGTCCAGTGTAAAAGATTATTTTGATTTTGATAAGTAGTTTGCACATACAGAACTGTGTCCAGCAAAACTCTGGGAAGATTTAAGAAATATGCAATTTTTCATGTCTAAAAAACTGTAAAGTATGTATGTTTGTATTTTTATTTTTATGTTTTAATATGGTTATTATCTAAGTTATTTTATTTTTGTGGATAACTTAATATTTGTAAGACAATAAAAACAGATGATAATATTGAAAGGGGCTTTAATGTGATGAATAAAAAAAAAAAATACATGAAAACAGTGAATTTGGTTAAGAGAACTGTTTTATGTTCATTTGGTGATAACCTAAGATTCCGAGAAGACAGTATGCTTATGTACGAACTGTGGATGCATGATACAGACATTAAATAACTAACTTCATTCAGTAAAATATCACACAGTGTGGCCAGTGTGAGTGAGACTGACACCAAATGTGAGTAAATGTAACAAGTATTATGAGACAAAAGTAGCTGTCAGCCACTTTCTTTTGGTCAAAGTAGCTCTGAGAAAAAAATAGGTCAGAGACTCCTGCTCTGACATGGTGAATTATAATGGATACAGGTAGAGTGTGTACCTGGAACTTGTGATGCATTTGATCGTCTTGCTGTTTCTGGTGATCCTATATATCTCTTAATGCATCCTGTATACCTCAAAACTGCCACAATGTTTTGGGGGAATACGAACAGGAAGTGATCAGAGATCTTGATATCCAGTGTGTCAGTCTAGGCTGTATTTGTGAAAGATTTTACTAAGTTATGACTCAGAGAAGGAGTCAGAGTCACCTCAGAGTATTTTGCCTCACATCTCTCTCTCTCCATGCCTCTTCCTGGGTGGTGCACTTCACAGTTTGAAAACCTTTGTCATAATGCAACCCAGCAGTGCTTTTATACCATTCCTGGCTGGTAATGCTCATGTCTTTCAGTTTCTGTTGACATAATCAGAGTTCATTTTTTTAAAACAGCTGCTCCAGCTACTGTGCTACTGTTTGTGTCTGTGCTATTTTATGCAGTGCAAATAGTAATGTTCTATAATTTTAGCATTTAAAATTTAAATTCTTAATTTTATTTTTTTAATTCTTTAGTCTGTGGTTGAGAATAGACCCTCCCTTACCAGTTGTTGCTTGCGTGCAGAGAGAAATCCTGTTGAGTGTCCTGACTCACTTATATATTCTGTGCCCTGAGGTAAGTGATGAAGTCACCAAGTCAAGTGTGAGAATGCAAGAGACACACTTTCAAAGTAAAGAGATGTGCAATAAAAAAGTGCTATTTCATGTCATGCAGTTCTATTCTTATCCATCCATACTGCTCACATTTAGGGCAAAAGAAGAAAGCAGCCTGCTTCCACCTCTCTCGCTCTGTTTGTCGATATGAGCACGATGCATCATTCAATACACTGATTTAAATGAACATACGCTTCATGTATCAGTAGTTAAGGTGTGTATGTGTTTGTTTTGGTTAGCATGTGTGTATGTATGCTTGTATTATGTGTCAGGCTCATCCACCAGAAGGCTTCACTCTCAGCAAGTTGTCAGTTGTAGAGAAGTAAAGAAGTTACTGCACAAAAATGAATCAAATTTTGACTTCTCTCTCTCTCTCTTTTTTTGCTTTAATATCTCATCTTGCATGAAAGAAAACAAAGTCCAAATGATCATATAACTGTTCAGGGAATGAACAGATATTATAAAACTTGATAAATACTTGTTTAATATCAGATTATGTAAAAAAAATAAAACATTAATCTTCATGAGAATAGCTTTTGCCTGTGAACATCAGAAGATCCAGGCCTGGGATTGTGTGTTGAGTTTATTTGAACAATGGCTCTTATTTTGATAGAGAGCAGGTCCTACACATCGGCGGTGAAACAACATTGCGCTGGTGAATAATTTTTATGTTATGTTATGTTATGATCCCCTCATGTGAAGTAGGAGGTCTGCATCACTTATTAAACATTCTTTAATGTTTCTAAGGAGAAGGTGAGGTTCGTTTTGCTGTGATGCCTAAATGGATGCTCATTATGCATGTAAATAACAAATAGCGATGTGTTTCCACTGCAAAGAGCAAAGTGACTTGTGAAACCATTGCATGACCTTATAAATGAAGTGGAAGTTGAGGGTTATAACCCCAGATTTTGCCATCTAAATATTATGCACCTAACAATGAAAAGCTGGTATCTGTGAAAAAAGAACACAAAGGTGGCATTATGCTGTGTTTTCTTTTTTTAGTTTGGTGTAAATAGACAAAGCCACAATAAGGAATGGCTGGCTTAACGCCAATATAGCAAAATCTCTGTCAAAAAAAGGCTTTTGAAATGATCTGTTATTGACTCATTTGTTCACTGGCCTCAAATTAAAATAAAGTACATTCTCCAGAGGATTTGATGCATAGCTTCTGCTTTAGATGCAATTATTTCATGTAAGACTTTATAAAGACAACTTTTTAAAACTCTTATACAAGACATTACTGTCTAAAGATAGCTTTGGTGTTTGGATAACTAATTCATCACGCTTACGTCTTGATAGAATTGCACCATTCCAAGTGAAAATTTTATGTGACAGGAACAGGAACCATGCAAGGAACATCTACATTATCTCATAGACCCTCGGTGTGTATGATAGTCCATTCAGCTTCTGCACAAATACTTGATCTGCACTAGCACGGCAGTTTGATCTATATTACTAATTCATGCTGTCTTCTACCAGGGAAGCATCAAAGAGGAAACAGGGATCCGTTTTTGTGGGCCTCCTCACATTAATGATTCAGAGCAGAGGCTAACAAGTACATGCTTTTAACACCACTTATGTTCCACTCGACCTAAGCTGACATTTGCTTCATTGGATTTGACTTCCACTTTCTTGATGCCTGACAGGGAATGAGTGCTATGGGCCCTCTGATGGACGCATTGACTTTTTTTTAATAGTTTAGGTTGAGTTATTGAGCTGCATGTGTCCATCGAACTAGAGTTTCAGTGTGTAAGCTTCATTAAGCGATCACAGACAATGCAAATATAATATATTGTATTTATTATAACACTCTATAATATTTAAGTTTTACTAATTCACACCTCCATTAAGTCCTATTGTTAAGGTCACCTCATGGACTGTATTTATATAGCACTTTTATGCACTGGCCAATGCGCTTTACAGGGAGATTATACACCATTCACCCATTCACACACACATTCATTCACACACCGATGACGACAAGGTTGCCACACAATGGCGCCAGTCAAGCCACCGGGACCAATTTGGGGTTCAGGTATGGTACAGTTTTGCTGTAAGATAACAGGAATTCCAGTTATCTGTTCAAATGAAGGTCAAAATCTTGACCATCAACTTCATGGCCTTGGACTCAGTCATGGTCATTATGCAAAACCGTTCTCAGCTCTACATAAACTTGTCTTCCTTGTTTTCCTACTCAGTATCTATCAGGAGGCCTTGAGAATGAATGGACATGTCAGTACTAACCTTTAAGTTATGGTTGCTTTGTTTTTGTTTGTTTTGTTGTTTGTTTTTTAATCTCCTCCACTTCTCCAATCTTTGTAGCAATAAAACCAGCTTTTAAACATCTGACAAGTTAAGGGAATTCATGCTTTGCACTTACCCTTGTGCACACATGGACATGGATGAGGGACGCGCATGTGTTCCTATTATACTTTAAATTGAGGGTCTGCCTTCCGTCTGCATACGCTGATGGTATCCAAGCACTGGGGCTCATGCACAGTCAGGGCTTTTGCTGTGGGGACCATCCGCACAGAGTCTGTGTAAACCCTTGTGGCCCTGGGAGAGTGACAAAAATCACATCACTCAACCTTTGCAGACAAGTTCACTGATCTACAAGGAAGGAAGGAAGTTATCATAGCTATGAACCACTTTACTGAACCCAAACAGTTCTTAAAACTGCATAACTTTTAG